AGACTTACCCGACTAATAATGAGGTGTTTTCTATTAAAATAACTTACCAAATAATCATTAATAAGCTACAACCTTCTTCACCATCAAATAACATTTTTAACGTTGTGTGGAAATGAGAGGGTCTTCCAAAAATTAATTTTTTTTTTATGAAAATTAGTCAATAACAAATTATTAACTAATAAAAAAAGACTTAAAAGAGGCATGACTGAGAGCTTCTTCTGCCATAGATGTGGTGAGGCATTAGAATCTATCATGCATGTTATTTAGGACTATTTCTATGCAACTAATATTCAAGACCATTTTATTTTACCCAATCATTTTGTTCCTTTCTTTAGTTTGGGTCTATCTGATTGCCTGATATTGAATTTATCTCCTCATGCTTTTAATAAGACTTATGGCTGTAACACATTGTTTGGCATATTTGGAAAGATAAGAATTCTCTAATCTTTAAAAATTACTATGACAGCCTCTTAGTTTTTTTCTGAAAAATATATTATGATCTTAGTTTTTATAATTTTTGCTACAAGAATAAGTCTTTAAACATCCTTGGTTATTGATAGACACTATAAAATGAATTCCCCCTGTTTCAGGTCAAGTCAAGCTAAGCGTAGATGGAGCAGTTTCCACTTCAAATAAGAAATGCAGCTTGTGGAGGTTTTGTTAGGGACTGTTAAGGACAAGTTCTAACTGATTTTTACTTTGTAATTGATATTGGTTCCCCTCTTGTTGTTGAACTTTGGAAGTATTTTGCTTGGAATCCAACTAATTGTGAAAAAACGCTTTCATATGGTTTTGATTAAATGTGATTCAAAAAATGTAATATCTCTAGTTGTTAATATTCAAGCTTGTTCCCATCCTTTATTTGCTTTAATTAATAGGATTACGAATTTCCTAAAATGTATTTGTTTTGTAAAATTTTCTCAAGAGCTTGTGCCTTTTTATATTTTTGAAGAGTATAGTATATCTTTAATTCTTTTTTTTAAGTCTTAATGCCGTTAGTAGCTAGATTCTTACTTTTGTATATTTTTGAACTTTTTTAGCCTGTTTCTTAAGAAAAAATAAATAATATATATATATATATATATATATATTATAATTTATTTAAAATTATATTATTTGTTACATAATCTTATAATTATTATTATATATTATTTATGTATATCTGTAATATATATATATATATATATATATATTATGGTATATTGAATTTATTTTTTATAATTTTTTTATAAATTTTTAATTTAGAATAGAATAATTTTTATTTATTATAAATAAAAAATTATAACATAATATATTAATTAGTTTAATTTTAATTATGTTTTATCATTATCAAAGATTTAACATTTTTAGTTTGTTCAAATATAATAAATATAATAATTTATTAAATAAATTTATTATTTAAATATATATCTAAATATTACTAATTAAAATTTTTTATGTATTATATTTTAATTTTTTTTAAAAATATTATAAAATTTACTTATTTTATTTTATAAATTTATTGCATTTTTTAATGATAGTTGAGGTTCGGTAGCCATTCCTAGCTTTCACATACCTTGCACGTGATAATATTTTTTTCAACTACTTCGTACGGTATCTGTATATTTAAATAGACATTTTAGACAGTGCACGTGATAATGATTATTTTCAACTACTTCGTACGGAATCTGTAAATATAAATAGACATTTTATACATCAGTTCTGGTTTTTCTTTGTAGTGTACGAGTCTTTTTCTTTTATCTTTCTTCATGTTATAAAAGAAACTGTAAAAAGTAGGTATATATATGTTCTCTTGAAAAATTTGCTAATTAATGAGTTTCAGATAAGAGAAGAGAAACGTTGAATCTAAGAACAATAATAGCCGGAGATTCTGTTCTCCAATGAATTTGATCCACTCCATTATATTTTTTGTCATTTACTACTCTGTCAACAAAAGAAAATAGATAACTAGCTGACAAGATAATTATTTTCAAACACCAGCTCTTTTTTTATGTATGATTTTTTTTTTAAATTCAAAAAATATAACTTTTTATAAAATTACATAAATATAATATTTTTACGAAATTTAGCTAAAAATACGATAACTTTTGGACTTTTTTCTTAAATAATATATTTTTAAAAACTATTTTTTAAAATAGAATTATACTTTTTTTAGTGTCAATAGTTATATATTATTATTATTATTTAAATAAATTATCGTCCCAAAATAATTAATACTACTTAAAAATTAACACATGTCATAATTTAACGTGTATCAGATAAAACGAAGCGATAATAAATTTTTATTATTATTTTAATAAATTATCATTTTAGAATAATTGATGCTACTATCGACTATTTTTAAAGCTCATTTTTTTTAATTTATGATTTTCTTTTTAAAATTCAACATATAAAATTGATATTATTATCTCTAAATTATTGCACTTACCTAAAAAAAAAAAATACTATTATCAAATTTTGAATTATATATTTCTATAATTTTTAAAAAATTATATATATATATATATATATATATATATAATAAAAAATGATCTTCTTATTTAATAACTCTTATATCCAATCTAAACTTTTTATTTAACTTAAATCTAATAGTCAGTGAAGTAATAAATCATAATTTGTTATATTTAAGTTAAATGAAATACTGAAATTAGGTGTAAAATTTTTTAAACTTACACCAGTATAAGAAGATCTTGCTTCATATATAATTTATAAAATATATATATAAAAAAATAATCCTTAGAACATGACTGAGTTATTTAGTTGAGTGCTTCAAATTTTATTTCCAAATAGAAAATATTATTTAATATCTTCTTTTGTATTGAAAAATTTTATTAATATATTCTTACCATAATTTTTAATAAATTATAAAAACAGTATATTTGTGAATTTCTTCACCAAGTAATGTACTAGAACTTATGTAATTATACAACACTAATTATTTTTAAAAATAGACTAGACTAGGCTAGACTAGACTTTTTATAAATAAGTATGACTTATTTAATAATTTTAAAGTTTAAATTTAGCCTATTACATGTTATAGACTTTTTATTAAGTCTAGTTAGACTTTTTTAAAAGTATAATTTAGCTTATTAACCTTTTTAATAACTTATTTTATATTAAGACTTATTAAACTTATAAATTAATAATGATTGATTATCTATAGGAGTAAGAGTAATAAAAATAGATAAAATTATTTTATTATTAGAGAAGACATTTTGTTAACCTAAAAATTAAAAAAATAAAAAAATAATAAAAATTAGTTATATATAATATTAACAAATATGCAAAGATAATAGGAGATAAGAAAAACTAGCGATAAACCTAAGAAAGCGCAATGTAAATAAGTGTTATATGACTTACACTCTCTTTCTCTTCCTTCATCATACATGGCATGGCAAAATACACAATCCTATTTCCACGACTACCATCCCTTCAGGATCGAATCCTGGAATGCAGGAAACTGGACCTTCAGTTTCATTTACAAATTCAAAAGAGATCATCACTAGTTTTCGTGTTAACTAGACTGGATCCAGATCCCTTCTCTTCGTGGCCAACAAGCTTGGTGGAGATGGTTTTAGACGAAATCTCTAACAAAGAGGTCATCACTTTTGAGAGCCTCAAGAGAAACGCTTCTTTGTTGGGCTATCTCGGCTCTATGCTAAGCCTTGATCTTGATGGCGATGGGGCGCTAAACTCATGGAGGGATCCAAGTTCTGGTTAGTTGAAATTCTTCAACAATGCTCAACTCTCCTCTCATAAGCGTAAAATTCGCATATGTCAATAAATTTAAATAAAAATCAATTAAACGGTCCAATTCTCGCCACAGAAGAAGAAAATCCGAGGAATCCGTAGTGAGTGTAAGTCACTTTTCTGGTCAATTTTGAAATGTCTCAAGACTCAAGCAACGAGCCAGTTAAATATTTGGTTTTGCCACTTCCCAAGAAAAATCAACTTTTGTCCACACATGAAAACATCCCTGTTTCTATGAAGGATAGAACGGAATTGGAGGCGTCGTTGTTTGGCTGTTTATATTATGCTTAGTTGTGGTGTGGGTGATTGGAAAGAAGCATGGGAAGAGTTGGGCTGTGGAACGAGGAGCAAGGGTGGGGACATGGCAGCAAAAATCTCAAAGAAAATCGACGCCCTTGAAACCTCCTTTCCGAGTATATTACCCCTTGACTAGTGTTCCCTCCACAAAGGGTATCCAAAAATAAACTTTATATTCAATTTTCGAACAAACAATACAGATTCAAGAATTAATAACTATTATCAGACATGGAATGATGGTTAGAAGAGTTACCAGCTACAAAGATGCCTTTTAGTTGAAAAACTGGAGGGCTGGTCAGTTTTAAAAAAATTCTTTTTTTTTTCATTTTTAATTATAAAACTATAACTTGTTTTCAATTTGATTTCTATTTTTAAGTATATGTATAAGAAATATTTTTTATTTCATTTTCATGATTTTCTGTACAAATCTTTAAATTTAAGAAACATAATAAAATGAAGTGACAACTTTGTAATTAAAAGTGAAAAAAATGAAGACAAAATAAATTTTAAATTTCAGAGAACACTTTCTATTTTCTCTTTTAATCACAAAAATATCACATTATTCTCATTTTGTTTCCTATATTCAAATATTTGTATAGAAAATAGTGAAAAACAACTTTTTCTATTTTTACTGTTTACTGCATAAATATTAGAAAACTAGAAACAAAATTAAAATAATGTGATATTTTCGTTATTAAAAATTAAAGCTAGAAAATATTTTCTGCATCCAAATGGCCCGTAGTCTTTCTTCTCACTCTCCAAACAATAAAGAAAAGATGAAATTCACGTGTTCTTTCTTTACTTTTTCACTCAAACCAAAGGATAGCACACTAACCTACATTTTCTCGTCTCTCTATTTTCTTTCATCTCATTTTCCAAAGTGTGTTTTAAGACATTCATATAATAGGAATGAGGACACAAAAATGAAGTTAAAAAAGGAGATATAATATATAAAAATAGAACACATTTGATATATCAACTAAGAGCAAAGAAGTTGGGAAGGAAAAGAAATAAAGAAACAAACATTAGAAAAATACCAATCATGGATAGAACAGTAACAAAAGAGCAGGGACCTGTAAACTATGGACAAGAACAGACACACACAGTGCAAAAGTGTGTTGTGATGCGAGAAATGAGAATAAAGACCAAAAAGTAGAACGGAGAGATGTGTAAACAATTTGGTTATCAAGGCAGGTCTATCAATGAGTTGGAAAGCAGAGCGCTTTTTTTTAGAAACTCGTGTTTATAAACAGTATGAAAACTTCTTCCCTTCAGTTTCTGAAGATTATATAAATGAAAATTTTCATCCACAGAAAACAAGTCTTCAGCAAAACAAACTCTCTTTACTGCAACATGCTCTCTTAGGCCTCACTGACAATTTTCTCATTTTCTTGTAGTTGTATCACTCAAGCATGGTCTTGGCAGCATCAATTAATATTGGTCTAAATTCATCTGTAGCTCGACCCAGCACTGTGTACCCTTCCTTGTCCTCCACATCCACATTCGCTCCATGTCGTATCAGAAGGAGGGCTGCCTGTAAACCGAACGTAGGAAAGAGAATTATAATATACGATGCTCCACAATTACGAGACACCAATAACAAAACTGTCAAAACATATTCTTCATTATTGAAATCAATCTACTTCTATATATACAAATTACAAAATTACAGAGGAAACAACATGGTCCAATGCCATAGCACTCGATTGGTGATGCTTTAACATCCCTGGAACAACACTTCCATGTGTGTGTTGTGCGGAGTCCATTTTAAATTCAATTTTGCTTATCTAGCAGTTGACCACTTCAGCACCCAAATTGCAGCACCATGATGATGGAAATTTTTAGAAATGTAAAATTTGGAGCTGCACCTCATAAGTTGAGGTGAGATTTTCTCAGAGGGGGAAGGATGCACTAGGAGAGATTTTCTTTTCAATGGTAGTATAGCAAATTATTTGATATCTTGTGAAAATGCATGCTATTGCAGCTAACCAGCTTTTGTATTTTATACAAGCTTAAATATCATTCTAGGAATATCAATTGTTCTTTAAGGTAAAATGAGATTGACACTAGGGCACTTATCAGCAATTTATTATAACATAATGAGCATTATAAGTGACTAAGGTGTGAGAAGAAATATGAGTACACCTTTTTTTTAATATAATTACCAAAAATGGTTCACTTTTAAGATTATTTCCACTCTAGGCACAATGCATTCATTTGTTTATAAATAAAAATCCAAACACTCTTACCATTATCTTTTTAAATTTTAAAAAGGAATCAAGGAGAGTAGGAGACAGTAAAACGAATAAGAACCCACATCAGAATTTAGTAAAGAACAATTACTATTGCACAGCTCGTGACTGGCATTGAATGCTTCGCTGTTGTTAATCAGGTATTACAACTTACAAGCAAGGTCCTAGCACAGTTTTAATCTGAGATGAATATTAAGAAATAATTGTTAAAAAAAATCAAATTCAGAGAAAAATACCAGTATGAAAGATAAATATAGAATTTTTCTTGAAAAATTCACATGTAAAGAAACTTATGAAGCCATTGGATCATAGAAAAATAACAAATGAACCAAGAAATTAAGCCCACTTATTTAATACCCATGGAGATTCGAATTTTGCAAACAAATTCATTAATCATTATGGTGAAGTTGTCAAAATTGAAAAACAAAACAGAGCATCTACAAAATCATTAGCAGAGCATCTACAAAAATCATTAGCAGAGCATTTACCAAAAATATGCACAGATTTCTGAGAAATATTGTATAGACAGATACAATATGGTTACAAATACTTTCAGTTTACTGTTATACAGTATAAAGACATGCATGCATAGAATAAGTATACCTCTTTGTTATGGCAAATCACAGCATCCATTAGAGGAGTTTGACCAGCTCTATCGACAGCATCAACCTCGGCTCCTTCTTCAATCAAAAGTTCACACAGCTCAGAGTTCCCGGTGCTAGCTGCTCGATGTAATGGGGTACAACCAACCTGACCATAGTACAAGACATACACTAAATTATTATAACTGTGATATTTAACAATGTGATTATTGAAAAAGGGTGATACATTGAAACTGTAGTGCCACAAACATCAAATGTTTCCATGCCACGACCTTGTCCTTTATATTAATTTTGGCATCATGGGAGATGAGTATTTCAGCAATCTTCAACCAACCTTTGCTGGCTGCATAGTGTAAAGCAGTGCGACCCCCATCGTTTTTCAGATTAACATCAGCTCCTACCAAACATGAAGAACAAGAACATTTAAGATAATTGATGAATCTCTCTGCATTGCAGACAAATATAGTCACGAAGTTATAGGTCATTGGTATTACATTTTATTACCAGACTTTTGAACCTTAAGAACTATTCCGCAAATTAAAACAACACTGAACAGCCTACGCAATCAATCAATAGATATGTGAAATGCAAAATAGCCGAAACTTTACCACCTTTTTCATTCACGTGCTACATCAATACAAAATCTTTGCAACTATATGTCCAAAAAAGAGTATATAAAATGGGGAAAAGGGAAAAAAATATGGAGATAGAGAAAGGTACTTCTCAACTCTATCTAAATATAATAAGCAATAGAAATCAGCATTACACCACACCCCCATGAAGTAAGAGTTTCTCATTATAAATTAAAATTATAGTTTTAGAAAAAAGATATCAGTCCATATGTATAATTTAATCTCCTTCTTAATATTAAGCACTACACTTAATTTCAAATGAATCAAACACATCAGTCTCAGGAAGCATACAATAGACTTATCCACCTAGCTTACAACAATTCAATCAATTTCTAAAAAACAATTAAGTAATAAACAATCGGTAAAGGTTAATAAAAGCATTGACCTTTGGTCAACAAAGTCTCCACTATCTCCAAATTCCCAATGCTGGCAGCAGAATGAAGCGGTGCCCACCCTTCTTCATCGGCACAATTTATCACACCAGCTGATGCTTCAGAACATGACAGTATCTTCACCACCTGATACATTCATTCCCATTCACAGTCATGAAAACAACGGTTTTTATAACTGGAAACCCTAATTATGGATTTTGGATAAATGCAAAAAGAACAAATTTTTAGGGGAATAAGAAGACCCAATTGAGAAGGGGGAAATGGAGACCTGGGAGTGACCAGAAGAAGCTGCGACATGAAGAAGAGAACGAGCGTCTTCGTTCCTAAGAGAGAGGGCTTTGGAGAGGGTTTCAGGTGAGAGTGATTCGAAGGTTGAGTAGTCACCTTCTTCAGCTGCTTTGAACAAGTCCTTCTCTTTCATCTCTCGTTGCTTCTCTTTCGTTTCCACTTCCATTTCCATTTCACTTTCTCCTTGAATTTTCCTTCGCTAAAATCAAATAAATAATTTCTCCTTTCTTTTATCAGTAAGAGTTTCTCATTTATCTTACCTTACTTTAGTAGTAATACATAATAATTTTTTATTAAAAATTATGAGAGTAAATATTTATTTATATTTTTAATTAATAATTTTAGATACTGATGAGTGATGACTTCTTATTTTTTTTGCTAAATTACTTAATTTATTTTGATTGCTTAACTTATTTTTAAGTTCTACCACGGGTTTTAAAGTAAAATTAATTTTAATTGAAAATACTTAAATATTAATATTTATTTTACAAAATTAAGTAACACTAAATTAAATAAACATTATTATAGAGTAATTTAACATGCATCCAAAGATTGCATGCTTAATTAGTAAAAAAAATAAAATAAAAATAAAATTTTATGGTTAGGTGATGACATAAAATGGTTTTCCAGTCCCACTTATATTTTTTATATTTTAATTTTTTTTAGTTATTTCTTGATTTTGTAAAATGACATTTAAGTTAAGTTTTTACAAAGAAATTAAAAAAATAAAATAAAATGCCTATCTCATATAATCTCAAAGACTCACTTCGAGATTTACACATTCTACGTTTCCGAAGAGCTAAAACCTCAAACATGGAGTTTCCGTTAGTTTCCAACATGGGACTAATGAAATTGTGGAAATGGCTGCAGCCACTTGTACTTCACAATGATGCTATTCTTACACTTCAATATCTAAACTTTTCCTCCACAACTCCCTTTGATTGAAAAACATAAGAGAAAAATTCCACTTATTTCTCTTCTAATTTGTTTTTCTCCGATAAAAGGGAGGTGTAGAGAATAAGTATAGAGAATGAAATGTAAAAGTAACAACATTGATAGATATTGTTTGATTGGAAATTTCTGCTTGAAAGGGACTACAAGGGCAACCTGAAACATTTCCTGAAATCTGAAAACAATATAACAGAAAGGTGGTGATAAAAAGATGACAACTAGAGATATAAGGGTTCATTTTTTTCATGTCAACAGAGGTTGGCTCAAAGGGGTGACCTGAGAACACAAAGTAAATTCATATTATACAGAGATACTAGATACCAATACATGATATATAGCTGTCCAAACCAATCCACCTTGTGCTCTCAGATTCACTCCTCTGAGGTAAACCGTTTGCTATATGGGTTCAAATGGAATCCCATTTCAATGAATAAAACAACATTAGCTTTCTGGGTTCATGATGTTCTTTTATATATGTAAAATGATTGGTGGCATAAGACATCATGTCCTATCACGGATTCACTATGTTGCCATTTAGAACACAGCACCATGATTTTATGAGAGAATATATCTAAAAGTAAAAATAATTATAATTTAAACATAAAACATAAAAGTAGAATTTTTTTTTTTATAATTAAAAAAATAATTTTTTTATAAAAATTTCGAGAGAATATATTTTATGAATATGTTTTAGGTGATACATGATCACCTTAATGTCCTGTGGCTGAAACTGGCACACTATGTTGTCATTCTATCGACAGAACGAGCGAGACGTTCTCATCTTTGGTACATTATTGACATTTGTGGTTTAACTTTTCCTTCAGAACAAACACAAACACTGATGATGTTGTCATCTCAAATGGCAGTTCGTAATTTCAAAGTCAAGATCAAAATACACCCAAAACAAACACTTCGGATTAGGATTTTTTTTTTTTTACAAAGACTAAGCCCAACTCCCAAAATCAAATGAACTCATTGCAAACAAAACAACTTACGAGCTTCAATAGCAATCCAACAAATATAAAAGGCAGGCAAATTGTCGATGGGGTTAGTCATTGTTAATGAAATAGTGAATGAGTCATAAGAAGGAGAAGGAATTGTGTCTTATTAATGGTAGATTTTCAAAAGACATGTAATGGAATGAGTTGGAAATATTTAGACCTCGTGATGGCTAAAGGGTTTGATAGCATTTGGTTGTGGTTTAACGAATGTTTGACATTAATTTGCTCGATCAAGTATCAGTTTTGATGAATGATAACAATTCAATGTTGTGAGAGGCTTAGGATAGGATGACCCATTGTCATCTTTCCATTTTTGTTCTGTAGCTGAAGGTTTGAGCAAATTGATGAGCATTGTCAGTGAAGTTTTTTTTCTTAGAATTTTAAATGCAAATTGAGGAGACAATGGAATACCACCTGCAATATGCAGTGTTGTTAGGGGAAGCTAATGGAAGAAATAAAATAAAATATTAAGGTCATTGGAGCAATATTAATGCAGCTGTTAGAATTAGCCTCAGATTTGAAAGCAAATTTCGACAAAAGCCAATTGATTGGCTTGAACCTGAAGAGTTATACAATTCTAACAGCAGGAAATTTTCTTTTGAAAGAGGTGAAGCATAATATGGTTGAAGGAATGGAAACTAGTATATAACATAGCCTGTAACAAGAAAATAATAATAGGAGATTCTGGTGTTTGAAGGAATGAAAAATGGAATTGGAGGAGGGGATATTTCCGATGGAAACTAGAAGTCACTATATATATAATAAATTGAAAGTGAAAGATCAGGATTTTTCAATTTAGAATCCCTAAGAATGCTAATCTGATTAGAAGAGGAGTAATTTAATATGAGGAGAGGTTAGATTTACAAAATGTTGTGGCTTGGAATTTGAATGCATTTAGTTCAACAAAATAATTACCATTAAGCTGATGATGATAAATGATAAAATCACCAAATCATTGACCATGAGTGTCATAAACAGATTGTATTATGATTTACTTATTTGTATTGTCTTCTGCTTATTTGTTTTTACAACTGCATGTATGTATAGTAATACATTTTTTAATGTACTTTTCACTATTATTTAAAATTTATTAAAATTAAAAAAGTATAAGAGAAATATTAATTTAAGATTATGAATTATTTTTATAATTTTTAATTAATAATAAAAAATATATTATAATATGATTCAGCTCCTTGCATAGTATTATTTATTTTTTCAAAATTTCACCAAAAATACGCTTGAAGTCCGTTCGAGTCGTTAGAATCATTTTACTTTATAAGACATATAATAATATTTTAACAAAATAAAAAAAATGATTTCAAAAATTCTACTGCAGAAACAAATAAACACTCACTTTGATTCAATTGTTTTAAAAAATAAGTATTGTTTTATTTGTGAAAATATTTTCTTATAAATAACTACAAAATATAATCTTATCAGTTATCTTTGTGTATTTTTTTTTACTTAAAAAATGATACATTAAATAGAAAAAAATTATTTCTATGTATATTTTCAAAAAAATTAATTTATATATATTAATAGTATAAATAAATTTTTATATTGTTACTTAATTCTAAATGTAGTTATATTAAATATTTTAAAAAAACTTTTACTTTAGTAGTCTTTCTAACTTGAACAAAATTATTTCAAATGAAAGATACTTGTTAGAAAAAAAAGAATTATTATATCAATAATTTTTTTTATATAATAATTAATATACAAATTATATTTATAACATATTACCGATGGTTGATAAATTAAACTATTTTTACAAGTAAAAAAAAATAAAAGTTAGGTAATAATTTTATAATTATTCATAAAAACAAAAGTTTTCATTAAAAAGAAATCCCAAAGTATTTATTTAATATTTCCATTAGAATAAAGCGAGGATAACGCAGAATTGACCGGCGCTGGTCCCTGGAATTCTGTTCCTTGTTCGAGAGAGAGAGAGAGAGAGAGAGAGAGAGAGAGAGAGAGAGAGAGAGAGAGAGAGAGAGAGAGAGAGAGCCCAATCTTCCTCTGTCGATCTCTACTCTTTCCTCTCCACTTTTCCAGATTCGTTCTTTCATCGCGAAATCCCAAAGCAAAACGCATTCCATTGCTTCTCCAATCTTACACTTCATGTTAACGGTGAGATTTTCCCTCGCAATTTGTTCATTTACCTTTACAATCTGGATTTCAGGTTCTACAACTAGTTTTTTTTTTTTAATTTCCTTATGTGGTTAACTTTGGTGGAAGAAGAAAACGAAGATAGCTTGAGTTAGGTTTTGTTAATCGAAATATAACTTCATTTTGTGATCTCGAGAAATTTTTTTGATCGATCGTTATGATTGGGATTGAAGTATGTTGAGAACGTTTTAGAGATGGAATTGCTGTTTGTTGAGTTAAAAGCTGTTGATCAATCATTGTTGATTGGACATAGTCACCTAGGCAACACAACACTTGGGGTACTAGTTAAGAAATTAAAAGTGGAAAGTTTTTATTAGAAATCACGTTGAACTGCATTGAAAATCATGAAAATCACGAGCAGAGGTGCGTTGATAATATATTCAGACAAAAACTTTCTACTTTTGATTCCTTAACCTGTGCCCTGAGTTAGCATTTGCCTTTCAGTTTTTGATATTTGCATATGGTTAAATGCTAGGATTCACTGTATAAGCTCTGTTTTCATCAAGCCAAAATTGCTTTTCTGATACATTCCATATCTAATTGTCAGATTTTTTAGTATTTGTTTTATTCTTTGCCTTTTTTTTTGTGGAGTTGCATGTGGCACTATGATATGGTACTTTTTGGTGGTTGAAACTTGACAATTTCTGATTAACCCTTTGTCTGGTTTGTAAAAATTCAGAATAAATTTAATCATGTTGTCTTACAGATTATGCTTTTTAGAAATGGCAGATACAGTACTGTTAACAACTGCATCAGCATCCCCCCGCCCCCCATTACGTATTTCTTGCTAATAATCCCTTCATAGCTTGAGCTTGTTGAAGTTTGTGGCCATTCAATTTTGACACAGAAACTTGTGGTTCTATTAATTTGGGTCTACTTGTCTTGGATGTCAAACGATGCTTGATAGATTAGTTTTGTTATATGTGCTGTTAAAAAGTTAGTATATACAGTGATACACTGATAGATGGAAGTTATGTTAGTTTTTCTTTCTGCATTGTATCTTAAGATGGCATGCATTGTATTTCCTCTGACAGTCATAGTCAAACTAAAGGTTTTTTTTTTTTCCCCCCTCTTTTGTAGATTATAATTGTGATCAAAGGGGCTTTTATGTCTACAGGGTACTAGTAACTGCTGAGGCTCAGATTCATGGGAAGTGATTCTTTTTATGGACAATGGAGTATATACTGATATTTCAATGATTGCTGCCTTTGCATTGTAAAGCTGTTCATCTTTCATGATGTGGAGTTTTGCATCAAATGCCCTTACAAGCATTGGAATGAAAAGAAGCTCCAAAGAGCTAACAAGTCAAACTGGTACAGAATGCTCGGATGATGAGGTCTGCTCTAATGCTAGCAGAGATGAAGTGCTGGAATGCCCGATATGTTGGGAATCTTTCAACATAGTTGAGAATATACCATATGTCTTATGGTGTGGTCACACCCTCTGCAAAAATTGTGTCCTGGGACTTCAGTGGGCTGTGGTGAAATTTCCTACTCAACAAATCAAGATCCCGCCCTTCATTTCTTGTCCATGGTGCCACCTCTTATCATTCCGGTTTATTTACAAAGGAAATCTTAAATATCCTTGCAAGAACTTCTTCCTTCTTTGGATGGTTGAGAGCCTAAATGGTGATAGGCATAAGCTCATTTCCACTGGTGTGGACAGCCAACCAGTTTGGTCTCCGAAGTGCAACCTTTTGGGAAGTCAACTTACTAATTGTAACATAAGAAGGACCACAATAAGTCATTGTTCTGGACAGTTGGGATCTAACAGTGATGGTGGTGCCCGTGATGGAGAGACACACTACTTTTCCCTTCATAAATCTCTGGATTTCTTCATTCACTTTACATCTAAGTTCCCATTAGTCGTTGTTTTCCTTCTGATTGCCTTTTTTGCAATTCCCTGCAGTGCTGTTATTTTAATCCTTTACTTGCTAGTCACTATTCTTTTTGCTATCCCATCTTTCCTTGTATTGTACTTTACATACCCTACAATCCAGAGGCTGTTAAGAGAAATAACTTCTTAAAACATAGCATTACTATAGCGCAGCCCCTTACATGTCAATCCAACTTCACAAATTCACTGCATATCTTTGGATTGATTTTATACTCTGGTAATTTCTTTGTTATTTTTAGGTTTTCTTATTTTTATGGTTTTATTTCTTTGTAGTTTTTATGCCATTTTCATAACAACTTTAAGTTGAATATCTTGAGAGGAATTTGATTTTTTTTTTTTTTGCTGTTGTAATTTGATTCTTAATTCCTTTTTTTTTTTCTTACTGAAATGGGTGATTAAACATTGTACAAAGAATGTCCTCATGCTGAAACGTCTATGTATCAAATGACTATGGTTATGTTATTATTTGCTGGAATTTTTTCATGCAATATTATCAGTAGTTGCGGCTTGGTTTGGACCTGAACATAAATGTCGTTTTGGTCTATGTTTTTCCTGTTCATTAACAAAATGGTTTGAAAAATGGCTAGACTCTGCAAAAGAAAGTTTATAAAAACCTTGATTATAGATGATTTTAAGCTAAAACATATCGACCCAGTTAATGACTTGTTTGGCACTGGATTGTCACTTGTCGGGATAGCTGATCGTATATTCTGGTTCGGTCGCCCTGACCTTTCTATAATTTTTCTTTGAGCCCGCGTTGGAGAGGTGTGATGATGTAGGTATTTATAATCTTCCGTTGACCGCGCAGAGTGACAGAAGCGATGATTAATTGCAGCTCCTACTTTATTTTTGCATAAACATGGTCGATGTTGTAGCAATTTTGGTATCCCATCCATGCTTCTTTTCTGTATTTTCTTGAATTCGAAACATTTCTTTTTCCGTTGTAATGATGTTAAATAGTACACACTAACTAATGCACCTTCAGATAGAGGTTTGCCGTTGGCGTCTAATGTTTGCGGCTTCTTCACAAGTTAACTTTAAGTGCTAAAGTGAAAATCATGGGGTAAAAAAACTGTTTGGGTTTGCTTGACTAAACTATAGGATAAGAAAAAATATGATACAATAGTTAGATGAGTATCCTATACTACATTTAATACACATTAAGATAATAAAGCAAATAATGTTATATCATCTTATCTAATATTAGAAATTAAAAAAAGAACAAGATATAAAGCAAGACTAAAATAAATCAATTTAGCTTGTCATTCCCAGCGTTTCATAACATGATAAATCATTTTCTTGGTTAGCCTGTCATTTCCTGAAAATAGAGTTGACACTCGTACTGTGGTGGGTAATATTTTTAACCAAAACTAAAATCTAAAGCAAGAAAAGTTGCCACATACAAGAAGTAAGTCACGTATCTGTTTCAGTTTTCAGTTTTTCTTCTTCTAATTGTTGTAGGAAGTTGTCTTGTTTTACTGGAAATGAGGATTAAGCTATAGATATAACTATAAAACATTCTTAGATCTCCTTTTGTTCCCCCAATCCAGTGATGTTACATAGTTGGTGATCTCAGAAGCAGAAGCAAATCCGTGGCAGCTTGCCTGTTGTTCGAATTACGTTTGCCTTCTCTTTAGCTTTTAGCTCTTCATTTTTTCGGCTTTCTTCTGCCTTGGTTCTTGCTCCCACTGCAATTTGATCTATATACTTGTACTTGGTCTGAAAATCATCCCAAGCTTTCAACTTTCTCTGTATAAGATCTCTCTGCAGTTTCAAAATATCGTGATTAGGCAATAGATGTCTGGTCTATATACTTAAATTTATGGCTTAAATTTTTATTCCCTCAAACATTTTTGAGCTGTCCTCATTTTAGTTTTCTTTAAGCCTATTCTTCTACTGTCAGCCATTGTCCAAATTATATTGTTTGGTGATTAGGCGACCACAACTCTGATGCTTTATTTGAGGTCTAATGCAGCAAAATTGGGTCACACTGGTAATTGTTCAATGGAAATTAGAATGTCAATTGTTTTGCACATATCATCATCATCTATTTACACGGTTCTAAACTTAAGTGTTAAGGAATAACCCCATTGATGTTTACCAAGTTAGACCAAAGACTTCATCTGACATTATCTATGGGAGCATTTAACAGTTTAATTTAGATGGCATTTGATTATAGAGACAAACAAATATGGTTAAATAAATAACGTAATAAACAGCAACTTAAAAATAAGGCTAAAAATTTCATTTCTTTTTTGCCTCATATTTTTAGAGCATATCATTTTATAAGCTGTTCGATGAATCACATGCTGATATGCTGGGCTTCTTGGCTCGTGTGGACATTGCAATTACTTTTTAAGTCATATATATTTTGGTATAACAACTCTTCTTATATTGATCACATTTTTCAAGTGTACCTTCTGCGATAGCTCTCTATGGAAAACGCATGCCCGAAGAATGTGATTAGTGTTAGAAGAGTTGTCTCCTATAATTATATATGTACTCTTTCAAGCATGAAATATTCTTTTAAAAATGTATATTGCATGGTAGAATCCTCCAAAACTTAGTAGAGTCTAATTTCAGTTAAGTATGAAGAATGGCAGAGTGAAACCTCTTCTTTTTCTAGCTTGCGTCTAGCATTCATCTTCTTCTTGCTTTCCCATGAATCTATTTTCTCTCTTAACTTGTCGTACCTGACAATTTTTGTTTTCATTAGTATACAAAATGCATGATTCAATTACGGTAGGGTTTATTCAAATTCTGATTGAGAACTGCTTCTTTGGTAGAAGTTCAATGTAACATGGCTTCTAAATACCTTTGTCTGATATTTTCAAGCTCGGTTCTCTCCCATTCATCTGCATTTTTCTGCCTTTCAGTATCTGTTGGTGGAGTTGTTTGTCTTAAAGGGTCATGCTTTGTTGAAGGTGGAGGAGGAATTATTGGTGATGGGATCTCGGGCTTTGTATCGGTGAAAGTTGAAGTCTTTTTCATTGATGGTGCAGGTGTAATGGCCCCTTCTGGCTTCTTTTCATCTGTAACTGAGGACTTTGGCACCTTGCCACCTTGGTCATCCTTAAGTTTAAATGAACCTGAACATGATGCAGACAATGTTCACTATACTTAGGGAAATTTTAAAAGGTAGATATTATTAGTTACTGGAGTTCTCTGTTCGCATCCTTACTTGAGAGTCGCTTGGATGCACTACCAAGTAGGGAAATTGAAGATTTTGTGCCATCCACCTTGCTTTTGGTCTTTGTGAACGAAGCCTCCTTGGTCTTGCTTTCATGTTCAGAGACATCTTGCAAATTAATTGCAAATGCTGCAGCAGCTACTGCAGCAGCATGCTCCATGTCTCTTGAGTCATCATCACGATCCGTTTTCCTTGCAAACTGTTTCTTGAACCAATTCTGGCCTCCCTCTTTCTTCTCTGCTTATTGTCACCATAGTTTGTTAACAAATTGCCTCATCGATAAAATAAGAAGAATAACCCCATTGATGTGTTCCAATATTTGGTGTAGTGGAATATCCATTTTTTTCCATTATATTTTTGTAACTTATCATGGTTGATGGTTTACAACGTATGAAAAGTCTTCATGATGGCACACTTTCTTGCTAATATGCTAACAGAAATACGGATAATAAAGCCCTGAAGGGGATGAGAAAAACTTTACCTTTGAAAGATTGAGTTTTCTGTATTGGTATTTTCTGATCCTTGGTGCCACCAAGACCAGCTTTCTTCTCCTCCGCACCAGTAAATTGCACCCTAACATAATTATGAGCACCTTTAGTTGTGGTTTTACACAATATGTGAAAATATATTTGTTGAATGAAAAACTACTTTATGACGCTATGATTAGCAAAATAAGTGGATTTTAGCTTATGTCAATAAATTTCATGATTAAACTTATGGCATAAGAAATTGTTTAAAAAGTGCTTATTGAATAAGCACTTAAAAATAAGTTATGCACCCAAACAAAAACCTCTTTAATCAGATTTCAGTTGAGCAAGAAATATCACTGGTATAGTGGTATGAAATAGCAAAACACGTTTACTGTCCAAGATGTCTAGGACAAAAAGTTAGAAACAACTAACCTTATTTGATTAAACAAATTCTCCATTTTACTCTACAAATTCTGTTCTCAGGTTTCCCTTCTATGAGTGATGATAATATGGTGGGTGATCCATTGGGTACCTGCAAGTGCTTATTTGAAATAGAAGAAACCTTGGAAAAGATACTTTCCTAGGTTCTTGTGGGCTGTTATTTGGAGTGGGGGCAAGCAAGGTTAAATATACTTTGCATGTTTGGCACTCAAGTACCTTGTTGGGGAAGATAGGTATTCTTTTCTTCTTTGGAGATTTAGCTGTCAGTATCTTATGTGACCCTCTAGATCATATTGTCTAATGCATATTTCAACTATGTCTTCAGCATCTGTGAATAATTGACGGCTAAAAACAAATGAAAAGAGAGAGCATGGATTCCCAGTGGTGACATTTTGTGCTGCACAACACAACCTATATGATAAGATAGGATGCATAGGAAGTCACATTTCAATATGCTAAAGTCCACCTTTGATTGATTCTTTTGGAAAGAATAAGTGAAGACAGTGTTGTGGAACTTCTTCCTTTCTTGAAAAAATATACCTGATTGTTCCCGTGCCTCTCATTTTATAAGGTTTTCATGCCTTAACCATTAAAAAATAAACACACGCTAAATATTTATCCACATTATTGATGAGCTGAATTTTTACTTTTTTTTTTCTTAAGCAGTTTTTTAAATTTTTGTAATATTAATAAAAAATCCACAAAGTAGGTTAAATAAAATTAACTCTTAGGATTTTTTTTATAATTATAAATCTTGTATAAAAAGTCTATATATAATTTTTTATAAATATAATAATTTTATTCAAAAATATCTTATTTCTGAAATAAAAGAAAATGAATAAAATTAAAAATATGATAAACTATTTTATTCTCCTTTTCACAATATTTAATATTTTAATGATAATATTGCATTCGATATTTTTAAAAATAGAAATAGAATAATATTGTTAAATTATAAAATTCTGATAGTGCTAAAATAATATTATACGCTATAAAATGAATAAAAAAAGCAAAAATAATAGTAATATGTTACTATAAGAACCTAAACCTTTTAATAAGGCCAAAAAAGAAAAATATGTATAAGCTCTTTAAAAATAGTCACTCACTCTGCATGAATAAATTAATAGCTTGACAAACATTTTTCCTAAAATAATAGTTGATTTATACATTGTTTTCATAATTTTCTCTTTAATCTTAAAATTTTTAAAATGGTTAACTTATGAGTTGTAGTTAGTTGACTTACACAGTTTATTTAATTTACTCATTAATCTTAAAAATCTTATTTTAGATTTCTGACAATAAGAATATTTAATTTTTTTTTATTAATTGTTTGAGAATAGTAATTGCAAATATTCGTTAATTTTAGGATTAGATGAGAAGTGAAAATGAAAACAATAGTCCCAAGAAGGATGGGAATGGGCTAGGACAGGGTATTAATAATGAACACTAAACAGGAAGAGAGTAAGAAAAATAAAAAGGTAAATAAAATAAGTTGTTAGTCATACAACAACAGGCTTAATGATTTTTTTAATAATTATTTACCAAAATAAAATTAAAAACAAACATATTCTCTATTTAGAGCAAATTTTTGTCACATCAGATTGTGTTTCGTATCTAAGGAAGACGAAATTATTTTTTTATTTTTAATTTGTCTATTTCATCTAAAATAGAGACGAAATCAATAGAACGTGACACGTGTTTCGATACAATAGAGACGAAAAGGTAAAATACAAATTTAAATTTAAAAATACATTTTTGCAAACACACTTAGACCAATCAGGGAAGGGAAGAGAATGGAGAGAAAAATAAATAAAGTGTGTTAGTGGGAAGAGATAGATAAATAAATAAATTGTGCTGTGTGAATGTTGTAAAATTACGAGAAAATATTAAATGAGATTAGTTGTGGAGAAAGAGAAAAATAAATGAACCGTGTTAGTGATAGTGGGAAGAGAGAGAAAAATAAGTGATGGATTATGCTTTGTGAATGATGTAGAGTTACGAGAAAATATTAAATAAGATTGGTTGTGGAGAAAGAGAAAAATAAATGAACTGTGTTAGTGGGAAGAGAGAGAAAAATGAGAAAGAAAAATAAGTGATGAATTGTACTGTGTGAATGATGTAGAGTTAAAAAAAATATTAAATGAGATTAGTTGTAAAGAAAAATAAATGAACCGTGTTAGTGGGAAGAGAGAAAAAATAAGTGATTTTTCTCTCTCTTCTCTTCCCTTCCTTAATTGGTCCAAATGTGTATGTAGAACTGTATTTTTAAATTCAAATTTATATTTTACGTGTATGCAGAACTGTATTTTTAAATTCAAATTTATATTTTACCTTTTCGTCTATTGTATACCGTCTATTGTATACGAAACACGTGACACGTGTCACATTCTAGTTAATTTTGTCTTTATTTTAGACGAAATAGACAGATTAAAAATAAAAAAAATAATTTTATCTCTTTTAAATACGAAACATAGTCATGTTTATTTTTAATTTTATTTTGGTAAATAGTTATTAAAAAAAATTAAAAAAATCATTAAGCCACAACAAAATTTGTTCATTTTAATAAAAAAAAAATATTAATAGATGGACTATTTTGCATACTTAAACTATTAAGGATTATATATATAGAACTAATTTGTCAATAATTAAATTTTAATGTGCTATTTTTTTTTTCTTTTGACCTAATCGATATACACTGTTTAAAAGTTTAAAAACTTAAATCACACATGACTTAAACAATATTATTCAAATTGTTTTTCCATTAACAGTTGAATAATTTTATTTTGTTCACTTTTCATTTTCATTTTGTAAAATCAATAAGTAATTAATATTTTTCATATAAATTTTCTCTTGATAATTAATATTTGTTGGAATAAGATAATAAATAAAATAGAAAGTTAAATAATAATTTTTTTATGAAACTTAAAACATCAATTATTTTTTTAATTACTATGCAAAACCTTAAACGTTAAATAAAAAGAAGAAAAAGGAGAGGGAGTATTACTAATTTGCCCTTTTTTTCCCTCTCTTTGCATCAATTCACCAAAACACAACAGCTGCGTCGTATGGATATATAATTGTTATGGAAATAAACTGAATGTATAAACTTGTAATCCAAAGTCTGTAACATCTTTGAAATTCAAATTGACTATAAACGAAAATAAAATACTAAACAAAAGTGTAAGGTACTGAAAATGTAAAGGCAAAAGGAAAAAAAAAGAAGTTAATGTGTTGTTGACTTGTTGCTGATTAATATTATGGGCATGCTGGCACATTGAAGCTCTTGATATACACAAATACAATAGAATCAGGTTCCATGTTGATTGGAGAAGATGGATCAACCAACTTTGGTTTCATTTCTGGGATTTCTAGTGAATTGGTCAACTCTAATGGAGTTCCATTCAACAGCACCACATCACTTTGAATATTTCCATCTTTTGGTGTCAAATGGTACTCTTCCCTCGTCTCTGTATCCAACCCATTCATTGATACACTTCCTTCAACTGTATCTGGGTACAGATTCATGTCATTGACAAGGGATACATTGAAAGCAGTGGAATTGGACATGTTTATGAGGAGCACCGTGACACCAGGCTGAAGAGAATGAACCAACATTATAAAAAAAATGTCATTGACTGTTAAGATGATATAAAAACTTTGTTTTAATTATGGATTTGTGTAAGTTATTCCATGTGGTAAATAACCTCTCTTAGATGGACTAATTGAATTTTGTTTATAAAAATATTAAATAAAGTGTTGATACAATTTTTAATACAATGTTTAACTTCGTTAGTTCATTTAAGATGAAATTAGAATAACTTAGACAAACCGATTAATTAGTACTGTAAAATGTCATTTTTCAATTAATTGTATATATTTGGTGTTACTTCTATTAATTATCCTCATCATGATATTACTCCTCTATAAGTACTTCATTCTTCTCTAATGATGATTCAACAACTATATTTCTCAAATTCATATTATGGTATTACATGGTACATTTTTCTCTCTATATCATTAAACATGGTTATACATTGAGATTACCAAAAATGAAATTGTTATAACAAACGAGGGTTATGTGCAGTCTCCCACTTAAAGAACCAAATTAAGTTCAAACATAAGATAATTGTTGGGAATGGGGTGTTAATTAGTCTCACAGTAGTGCATGCTTGAGGGGTTAGTCTCACAATAATACACCTGGGATGTTTAGATAACTATTTTTTTAATGTATGATTAAGAATACATGTTAAAAAACCATATAAGATATAAGAAGATTTAATGTATTGACAATATTAAACACTACAATTTTTAATAAAACCTTACTATTATTGTGATTAGAAAAACTGTTTAGGTGAAGATGAATGGACTTACCCCTTTCTTTGAACAATGAGCATATGTACGCAAATATGGAGAGCCTTCATGAGAAACAGAGAGCACATTGCTTCCCATAAGCCGATGCCACAAAAGCGCTCTGATAAAAAGCCATACTTACAAATTAGGAAGAGACTTTTAATCACTTAAACACACGCACGTCTTGCTTTCATGATCAGAAGTCTACAACGTTTACCCTATTTGACTCTTATATGGAATATTAATGTAAAATCATATGATTATATCTGGATCATCTTGCACATTATATTTTAAATAAAGTAGACATTAGTTTTTCTAATGTGTGTAATAAGTGTCTATAAATATTAAGTTTCATTAAAAATTAGAAAATATCACATAAATATTAAATGTTATAATATAAAATTTTACTTGATTCATACATTAAAAAATCTGATTATACTATTTAACACATATGACTCTTACCCATAATAATCTGGGTTAGGAACGAAGGATGTGGTGTTTAGCAAACCATAGTTTCCTCCAATCAGAGCTTGTCTACAATAAACCTTGTGGTTAAAGGTTGATGTCATGCCCAGCTGGTCCAAATACCTATTTATTAACTCAGAATACATTGAAATGTCTAAGGCAATTTGAAGGGAAAAAACATTGCAACAAATAGCTTAATTTATTTGGAGATTAAAGACTGACCAAAATCCATTAACAAAAGTATGTGACACATCTTTGCCACCACTGTTATAGGCTCCACCAGCTTCCCCAACCCATGGTGCTGCCCATGGTGTGAATTCCCTTACAGCTACCGCAATATCTTTGAAAGTTTCAGCAGTTTGGCTCAAGAAAAATGGGTCTTGAACCTTTGTGATAAGATCCTTATCAACACCTACATTTATGAGAATTTCTTAGAAACCAATCACCAAGGAACATACACAAACAAAGCAATAATAACTGTATATAATTGAACCATCCCATAAGGAAAAATCTAAACATACCAGCACCAAGGTTATAAATGTGATGAGTTACTCCATCAACCACACCAAGTCCTACATTCTGTAAGAAGCTATCAAACCATTCCTTTCCATAGAAACCAGCAGGGCCTAGCACCTTTGGCCTTGTAGTGGCATTTGAGTACAATCGATTAACTATACGTCTAAGCTTAGTAATATCTTTAGCATACTGAACACTGTCTACTCTAGCACCTACCCCACCAGAGCATAGCTCATTCCCTGATAAGCATTAGATTAAAACATCATAAACCATAATGCATGAGAGCAAATGAAAAGCGTATGGATATGTAATTCAAAACTTAAATATAAACATTTTTATTTACCTAGTTCATATGAATCTATTTTGTACCCTTTTGAAATAGTGTACTTCATTAGACTTATGGCATTTTCTGGGTTCCAGTTTCCCACCCAATTCAACTTGTCTTTCTCAGAATTTTTCTTTCCCATGAGCGCATTCAACCCAAAAGTGAATTTCACACTGCAGAAGAGAAAGAGTAAAGGGAATGTGAGATTATAGTTGCTAATATAGTTAGCATACATGCATAGTCACATTAAGAAAAAGGATGCTAATACCGAGTTTCGTTGACAAACTCATTTACTTCATCCCATCTCTTTTGGGGAAGGCAACCTTCACTAAAACCAAACAAACCATCATCTTTCTTTGTCATATTGGGGCATGTCTTTTGTTCCCCAAATTGGTAAATAATTTGATCTTGCAGTGAACCTCCCAATCTGATTCTCAAGGGATTGAATGCTGCCAAAATTGTGCAAGGAATTAGATCATCAACACTTTATCACATATAGGATACATAACTCTATCACATTATATATACAACTCCATGGACCATTAAAATGTCACATATTGTAATTTTCCAAATAAGATTTCCTTTGAAAGAGAAAAAGAAAAAAAAAAATCCAAATAGCCCAGAAAGGCTAGTAATTTTTTTTTTCCATGAAAAATTTCTATAGGCTATGATTTGACTCAAGAAAAAGAGAACGTACCCTTGACAGCATTTGATAGAATTTTGTTACCCAAGTCCTGCAACATTAAAAGAAAGTAACATGGGATAGTTATTTTTTGATAAAAATTATTAGAAGAAAACATGCATGATGATTAATGTTACTAAAATACAAATTTGAGATATCAAATGAAAGATAATTACCAAATTGAGGATGCCAGCTTGTCCCCAGGGACATTGGTTGTAATCACATTTATTAGAAGGCCACCAATCTAAAGTTGCACAAATAAAATTTTCGTCTGTGGTAGCAATGTTTGTCATCCCTTTCACTGTAAGGGTAACATCTTCTGCTGAAGCCAGGGAAAATAATAAAAGGAGAATAGAACAAATAGTTACTTTCTCCATTATGAAAAGTGATGGAAAAGAAGCACTAGAAAAACCACACAGAATCTCTGGAATTACGAAGCTTTTGGTCTATGTCAATGAAATTTATAGAGGTAGTACGTGGCAAAAGATAAAGCTTTTCACCTAATTCCTACTTTTGCGTCGTGTTTTAATCTCAGTAACAAATTTTACGTTAAAAGGTTTATCTTTGTTTATCCTAAATCTTTTCGTGATTTATACATTAATATATATATATATATATATATATATATATATATATATTTCTGTTTTTGAAAAATGGCTGGCTAATGGTCAATTTTCACTTTAGATGTATATTTGGAATCATTAAAAGATTGTTTTGATTTCTAAAATAATTTTTAATTTTAGGCAGAAGATTAAGAACTTGATTGATTTATTTTTAATTTTTAATTTTTAAAATTTATATTTTAAAATAATTTTATAAAACTATTTTTAGAAAAAATAAAATTTGTTTGATAATTTAGTTTTAAAACTATATTTAGTTAACCTTTTGTTAATTTTAAAGAGAGAAACATAAAAATAAAAATAAAAACACCCAAATAATAATTCTGTTTTTCAGTTTTAAAAACTGAAAATAAAAAAATAGGTTTTGAAACTTACTTTAACAAATAAGTTTTTCTGTTTTTTTATTTTATAAAAAATTAGACTTAAAAAGAGAAAATGAACCAGCGTTGATTTTCTTTTGCGATCAATTTGTTATAAAAATAGGAAATAAAGGTTAAAATATGTTAGATATAAATTTAATTTGTTTTATGTTGATAATTTTATTTTATTATATAATTAAATTTTTGAATATTGTATGGTTACTTAAAATAGGTAAAATGCTAAAAATAAATCGAATTCAAAGGGTTGACAATTCAATGCAATCTATTGGAAACTATATAAAGCAAACAAGAAAATCAAATAGAACAATTTGAAAAAACAGAAAACTAAAAAAAATTAAAAAAATAATAATTTTAGTAACGATCAAGAGGAGTACGATGAAGATGGAACGTAGCTATTAAGGATAAAACCATAATTTATAACTAATTTAAAAATAAGATTATTTTGATTTTATCAAATACCTCCAAATGATTTGCATGAAATGACATGAAACAAGTTAACGTAAAAATGTGTGTCTTTAATGTGATATTTGGCACATACGTAAATTATAAGACAAAGTGTCTCATCTTCTTTCCAACAACCATAGTATATGCAGAAGCAGATGGTTGCAAGCAGGATGTGATGTGAGGCATCAATTCTAAGTGGAAGAGCCTTCAACAATCTGAAAACTTAGCTTAATAAGGATAATAGAGTAATCTTAATGACATATTATTCTTCAATTTAGGAAAAAGAAATTTCAGAATAATTAATGAAATAGAATAAAATTAGGAATGCTCTTGAAATGAGTGGGAACGAATTTATCTTAATTTTATTTCAACCATAATTTTGATAGAGTGATTTGTTTCAATTTGAATCTAGTTTGGTAGGTATTAATTTTAATATGATTTAAAATTATGTTATAAAATTAAAAAGAAGTATAAAATTAAATTTAAGATATCTTTTATTATGCATATTTTAAAATAAATAATATCAATATTAATGAATTTATATATTATGTAGTTTCGCGCATACATGATTCTGTAGTTTAAATTTACTTTCCTTAAATAAAAAAGTAATTTTTGATTTAGATAAAAAAATTTACTTAAACAAATTTAATAAAAAATATTTTGTTTAAAATAATTTTTTTTACTAACGTTAAAATTACAATTTTTTTTTATCTTTTTAGTTTAAAAAAGTGATTTTTACTTATTTTACTTAAAAAATTAATTTATTTAAGCAAATTTGATCCGTAAAATTATGTTCATGTTAAAATTATAGAAGATATAAATCTCAAAATTAATATAATATTACATCCATAAAATATTTTTTGTTATGTTAAAAAGTCCTTTTAATATAACACATCGGACTAAGTTAGAAGAATTCAAATATAACTTTGAATCTATTTTTAAAGTATAATAATAATAATCAAAATTTCATCAAAATTAACTTTCAATCGAAACATATTAATGAGACAGATCATAAAATATTTAAACAAATAAATTATATTAAATTTCACTATATTTTATCAAATTAAGTAATAAAATATGAAATCACTCTATTTGATTCTCTTCCATTATACCTCCTACCAATTAAAAAATAATTCAAAAATTTGAATGATCTAGAAAATAAAACGAAGTAATATCTGTTCATTATGCTCCATGCTACTGTTTACCAACAATTCAAATCTAGCCTTCTCTCTTTTTTCTTCTCTTCTTTTTTGCTAGTACTTTTTGCATCCAACTAGGTGTAAAAGAACGGAAAACAAGAAACAAAATTGTGAACATAAAATTGCATGTGACTGCAATGTTTCAATGCTTGAATAGATATAGATATACAAATGATACATGAAAGTGATAATCTGAGTGCATTTCCATCCCATTTCCATGTCAAGTTGTAGCAAGAGATGCTTAATGCTATTAGACAAGTGCAAGAACATGAAGCACCTCAAGCAAGCCCATGCACAAGTATTCACCACTGGCCTTCACAACAACACCTTTGCTCTTAGCAGGGTTTTGGCTTTCTGTTCAAACCCACATAAGGGAAGCCTCACCTATGCATTAAGAGTCTTTGAATGCATTCATCATCCCACAGTTTGCATATGCAACACCATAATCAAAGCTTTCCTCCTCAATGGCAAGCTCTATAGCACCCTTCCTGTGCTCACCTACATGCTGCACATTGGCTTGAGCCCTGATAACTATACCATCCCTTACGTGTTGAAGGCTTGTGCATTGCTTCAAAGTTGTTCTTTGGGGAAAATGATTCATGGGTATGGTTCAAAATTGGGTCTTGTGTTTGATATCTTTGTGGGTAATAGTTTGATGGCAATGTACTGTGTGTTTGGTGATGTGGTAGCCGCAAGACAGGTGTTTGATGAAATTCCTACCCTGAGTGCAGTGTCTTGGACTGTGATGATCTCGGGATATGCAAAGGTGGGTGATGTTGATTCCGCTAGGTTGTTCTTTGATGAAGCACCTGAGAAGGATAGGGGAATATGGGGTGCCATGATTTCTGGGTATGTGCAGAATAATTGCTTCAAGGAAGGTCTTTATTTGTTTCGTTTGTTGCAGTTGAGAGATGTAGTGTCTGATGAGTCTATATTTGTGAGCATTCTTTCTGCTTGTGCTCATTTGGGGGCTTTGGATATAGGCATTTGGATCCATAGATATTTGAATCGAGCAAGGGTACCATTGAGCATTCGTTTGAGTACTAGTTTGTTAGACATGTATGCTAAATGTGGGAATTTGGACTTGGCTAAGAGGCTATTTGATTCAATCCAAGAGAAAGACATTGTATGCTGGAATGCTATGATTTCTGGTGTGGCTATGCATGGAGATGGAACAAATGCACTCAAGCTGTTTTCAGATATGGAAAAGATTGGGACAAAGCCTGATGATATAACATTCATATCTGTTTTTACTGCTTGTAGTTATTCAGGAATGGCATATGAAGGTCTGAAGTTGTTAGAAAAAATGTGTAGTGTGTACAGAATTGTGCCTAAGAGTGAACATTATGGTTGTCTAGTTGACTTACTAAGCAGATTCGGGTTATTCGAGGAAGCTATGGTTGTGATTAGAAGAATAACAAATTCATGGAATGGCTCTGAAGAGACATTGGCTTGGAGAGCATTTCTGAGTGCATGTTGTAGTCATGGACAAACTCAACTGGCTGAACTTGCAGCTGAAAGACTATTACAGTTAGATAATCATAGTGGAGTCTATGTTTTGCTTTCTAATTTATATGCAGCATCAGGGAAACATAGTGATGCCAGAAGGGTAAGGGATATGATGAAAAACAAAGGGGTAGACAAGGCACCAGGTTGCAGCTCAGTGGAGATTGATGGGGTTGTAAGTGAGTTCATTGCTGGTGAAGAAACGCATCCACACATGGAAGAAATACACTCAGTTTTGGAGAAAATGCATATGCAGTTAGAGAATTATTAGATAAATTTGGCTTCCACCAACTTCCTTTAGTTGAAGTACTAATTTGCTGCAGTAAAAAAGAAAGGTGTTGTTAGTGCAGTAAAAGGTGTTGATGGAGTACCACATACATGTAAACCCAATAAAGCCTTATACTCTTGTGCACCTTTAGAGTTACTGACACTTCACATTTTGAACTAAATATAATTTGTACAAATCCTGAAGCATAACTACATACATTTGACTGCACCAATAATACCCTTTTCTGCAACTTAATCCACATCCTTAGTTTGCAACATCCTGTCTAGTAGTCCATCAACAGTGTTTATTTAAAAGGAACATCCAAAACGTCGTTTAGTGCAGGGAACCAGACACATCAAACTTGACATTTGAAAATTAAATACACATTAAGAACAAAAACGATAAAGAAATAAATTAATCTGTAATTAATAGATTCATTATACTTCTGAAGTTAAATTCAATATATGCCCATCGTTAGCCTTATGTTTTCAATTTGAATTTATATTAAGACCCGTTTATAATTATAAATTTACCAATACTATTTTTAAAATAACTTTCCTTTAAAAATAAGAATGTGTTTGTTTACGAATTTTTTTTCTTAAGAAAACCATTGTTAAAATGTTTTACATGTTTGAATAAACTTCTCAAAATAATTAACGTTTGATTGATGTTAGATTTTAGATTAGTTTAAAAATTATAACAAATAGTTTCTGAAAAAAAAATATAAGGAGCAAATCTCTTTCTTTTAAACGTGAGTTAATCTAATTTTTCCCCCCTCTCCTCTCCTTAATCAATCAGACCGTAAAAGGAGCAAATCTCTTTCTTTTAAGGAACCGCGACAGAGATTCATATTTTATTTTGTGCACAATATTATTACCTTTAACCCAAAAAAACAAGGTAAAATAATTTCTCTAATTTTTGAGGTTGACATCAAGACTCCAAAACTATCTACAATACAAGTAACTTCTTAGAGACGTGGAAAGCTCTTAATAGTAAACTTAAAACGATTGTTTATTCGTGAAGGCAAGATAGATTGGACAAAATTGCATTTCCTATTTGGCTATTTCATTGAGAAAATTAAGGGAACTATTGTTTCAATAATTATACACGTACACTTCTTGAATAAAAAATAAATATTTTGAGCTTTATTAAACAAGGAAGTCTGCATCAGAAACTTCAAGCACTTTATGCAAACCAATGGGCTTGACACCAGGCCTGAATGCATTTCCCTCGATGTACCTGCCCAAAGCATATGATTACTCAATACTCAGTTCAATAAAGCAAGGTAATACGGGTGATTTGCTCAACTTTGTTGGAAACTCACATTTCTTTCAAAAATTGATGCTTGTAAAAGGGTTCAGGAATTCTCCCCGAAAACTGATTGTGATCCAAGTACCTGAAATAAAATCCATAAAACTTGATAATGGTTAACATTTCAAGCAAAGATACCAATCATATTTCTTTGCTAATATCTAAGGAATTATTTGTCAATTTAACTAGCAGATGGCTAGGAAATCATAGCAGATTCCCACCTCCATCTTCCTTATGACAATAGGCCAAATGTATATAGTATCGAAGCTCATAACAGCACACTGAGACCATACATTTTCAGTGATGAATTAATAAATGACAGCAAGTAAAACGTATTAATAGTTCATATAAATTACAGAATTCAATGGCTAAAAGTCAGAGTATACAAGTCTCGACACCAAAAAGGGTTGAAATAAAATACACTTGCATCAATTTCTATATGACACCTGTAAGTAGATATTGCAAATTTGCTCACGCCATTAGATTTTCAGTGATGTATCTGCTATCAAGGAATGTTTTTCATTTTTTGTAAACCATAGAACAAGTGCATAAAAAAAGACAGCATGTTGCATCAAAATACAAGATTAACTGCTCCATGAAAAAAGAGTCCCTATTTGATGTACAATGCTTTTAATGCATATTCCAATCAACTACTGAAAGACAAACTTACAAGTATGTCAATTTAGGAATATGGGCAATGCTAGATGGTATAACTCCAGACATTTTGTTGTGGGACAGGTACCTGCCTCCAACATAAAATCAACACATTACAGAAATTCCAAGGAATAATATGGTTCTTGAAAAGGAAAAATAGCTGTTTCACAATACTCAATAAGTAGTAGAGCGTGAAAGAAGAAAAAGCAATACTCACAAAATTTCAAGACTAGACAAGTTAGCAAGCTGTGCAGGTATTCCTCCAGTAAAATAATTATTATTAAGATATCTGGTTACAGAATAAAACTTGTTAATATTTATAGAACACTGCATTTAACTTCAGATCACACGGTAATGTATGGAGGAGTATAATTCACTATTAACAACTTACAGATTGCGTAGTGCTGGAAAGCAACCTTCAATTCGAATGAGTTCCCTTATGGTACCCACCAAATGATTGTTACCAACATCCCTATAACCGTAAAAGTATTATAATGAGGAACAATTGGAGTACGATATAATAGTCTATTCTGCATTATTAAGAGATTCTTAAAATAACTTGATTATTACATGTGTCGAAGGTTTTGTAGAGTGCCCAATTCTGGCGGTATTCTTCCAGTTAAACGGTTTTCATGAAGATAAAGGTAGCGAAGGTCTGGAAGATTAGCTAGCTCCTTGGGAATTTCTCCCTTGAAATTGTTGAAGCTTAGGTACCTGCATAAAGATATTATACCTCAATTGTAACTATAAAAAAAATGGAGAAAAAAAGACTGACTAACAACCCCAAGGATACCAGGAAGGTAAAAGTTACTCACAGATGTGTTAGGCTTTTAAGCTCACCAATTTCTGGAGGAATTGCATCCTGTAGTTTGTTCCACCTCAAATTTCTGGGAGGACACAAAGGCCAGTAATGAACCCCATATTTCACATCATAGAACCAAAATTATTGGAATATCAACAATTGTTTCCACAAAAACAATGTAGAAAGCATAATCTTCATAAATCAACAATTATTAACTTAAAAACCTTGTCTATTTCTTTGTACCGCATCACACCAAAATACAAGTATCAGAAAAAAATGCAAATAGAAACCAAAATTGAAGAAGAATCAGAAAACTCATACAGTATTTTAAGACGCTTCAACCGTCCAATTTGAGGAGGAATAGGCCCTGTCAACTTGTTATTATGTAGATCACTGCCATAAGCACACAGTAATTCAACTCATAAGAACTTCAGAGAGAGAAGCAAAACAGAAGTACTTCAACGATACACATACTGTAATTTAAAATGAAGAAAACAAAACCAAAGGCAGATAAACTGTAAGAAAACAGTATATCATCTTTTTGTAACTGACAAACATGTGGAAACAAATCACAGTTATTCACTTTTATGTATCGCAATCATTTTAGTTAACATGAATCTTCTGAGTTCTGATGAAGCACATATGCTATCTCTCTTTCTCTCTCTCGTAATACAATAGGAATCCAGTTTTCCACTACCCAGTTTCATCATTTGCCAACCAATTAAAAACCCCTATGATTCTTCAAAATAAAATGTTACACACACACACACACAACCTCCATGTTGGCCTTCCAAACATCCAACTCCAACAAAACCATAGGCATCAAGCGACAAACAACACATTTTTCAAGCTATTTGAAGGATCAGAATTGACTGAAACACAAATCAAGGAAGACACTTACAGGCGTGTAAGATCCAACAAGCTGGTTACGGCAGTAGGAAAAGGTCCCACAATCGAAACCGCATACACCTCACTGCAAACAACCAAACCAATCCCAATTATACCAATTTCACACCTCAAATCTCATATTTAAAAATCAAAACTTCTTTTTTATAAATTAAAAAAAAATCAAATTTTTATTCTGAAATCAACGGAAAACTTTGAGACACGATTCTCACAGCTCCGTGACAACACGATAATCACCGACAGTGGAACACGTGACACCAGACCAAGGAGGAAGATCCCCATCGCCACAAGGATCATCACCAACCCACGCATACACCACTCTCCAACCAAGCGAAGCCTTGATCTCGTTCAAAGCCTTAACTGCAAAATTCCCAAAAAACCATAAAAGACTTCGACCCATGATGTGAAAAAGCAAAAACAACAATCCCATGAACGGAATCGAAGAAAGGTTGAGAGAAAACGACATGGGTTAGTGTTAACGTTACCGTCACGCTTGAGGGTCTTGCAGTGGGCAAATTTGAGAATTGACAGAGAGAAAAGGAGGATTAGGGAGAGTGAAGTTAAGGGTATGCGCGCCATTTTGAGGGCGCTTCAAGGAATCGTCGTCACTCAAGAATCGCTGTTGTTGTTGTTGTGAGATCTGAATGTGTTATCGTTGTTGAGTGAGATGTTTCTCTTTCTTTACTGTGTGATTTAGATTTTGTAAGTTTAGGATTTGAAGGGGAGAGAGAGAGAGAGAAAATGGGGATTTTGGTGTTTGATTAATTGAAGTTGAGAGTGAGCGAACGCGGCATCGAGTTGGAAAATGAAAATCTAACACACTCGTCGGCACTGAAGTTTTATGCTATTCTTTTTTGACACACACTGTTTTCTTTTCTACTTTTTGTTTGTTTATTACTTTTTTACGATATTGGGTTTTGGCCTGTTTTGTTGTTTGGTCTTCGTTACGCCTCTGTGTCGGGTTTCGTCCGTTAAAATTGCAGAATATGAGCACAACTGCCCATCAATCTTCATCCTTCATTTTATAATTATGTCATGAATTACACCTTTCCTATCTATGTAGACACTGTATTCATTCATGCTATATCAAAATTCACCTCATTTTCGTGCATTAACTTGAAGCAAATAACATTAGCTACATGCCCTTTTTAGTTTTAAATAAGGATAACTTAGTGTGGATTCGAACAAGTTCAAAATGTTTAATGGATATGTATTTTTTGTACTTTTCATATTTTTAGAAGAATACTATATTTTTAGGATTTTATTAAAAAAATCTGTCTACATATCATAAAACATATACGATTTGTAAACTAAATTAAAGTGGTCACTTAAACATTAGCGAAAGTCCTGTATGTCATTGCACATACGAGAGGAAATAAAGATAAATATTGACCATTAATTCATATCACCATTAATTAATTGTTTAACTTTAATAATTTTAATTGTTAACATTTATGTTATAAATAAAAATATTCAATAAACTTTTATCTTTCACAATTGATTATACTTATTTTTTAAAATTAAAATTATTTAATAATTATGGGTGGGTTCCACTTTTTTCATTACAACAATTTTACTTTTCCTCTACTTTTTTTTATTAATTTTGTTATGAATTTTAGACATAAAAAATATTATTTAATTTTCTCTTATTACCTTATATAAATTTTTAACTTCTCTATAAATATATTTATAAATTTTTCTTAATACTTTATATAAATTTTTAATTTTTTTACAAATATCTTTGATTATATAAAATTCACAATGCTTAACATATTATTTTTATTATTTCAAAATATTATAATTTTATTAAATCTTTATCATTTTAATACATATCTAAAGTTAAATTAAAATAATTATATATACATATATATATATATATATATTTAAATAAAATATTTGCACATTCCACGAAACTATTAACTAGTTTATACAATAAACAATTATATGATTAAAATTTATTTCACATATTCTCGTATGAAAGCAATCACATCATCCTTGAACTCACTCATCTCAACCCAAACTGTAAAACTATCCTTATCTTGTCACTCACCCTTGATAAATGGTTCTAGCTTGTCTTAGATATGATTCCTAACATCACTCAATGGCATGGTGCCATCAATACAATAGCACCACTTAACCAAGATACATTTGCACCTATGAGGATTAGGGTATGATCATGCTAATCAAAAGTTATACATGCTTCAAAATTCATTGAAAACATAAACGATCCACTGAAATGTGATAAAATGAAATCGAGCTCATGTGCTTCACACAAGGACAATCAAGTGAGTCAACTCTTATATCAGGAACTGTATTACATCCAATGTTGCAGTTATAAAAAAATGTCATTTATGCTATCTTTGTTTTTTATAGGTACAAACTTTTTGTCACTTGTAAGCACAGATTACTCTTGCCAAATGGAAGACTTTACTTATATCAGACAAACATACTTAGGTACACAAATACACGTATAAAGATAAATACTTATCATGCCCCAACTTGATCCTTTCTATTTTCTAGTATAATGATAACTTTAATTATGACCACTTGATGCCAATCACGATATTTCAACACATAAAAATTTATAATTTTTCTCCATCTTATTACTATTTATTTTTCAAGTCCCATCTGTCTGTCCATCTAAAAACATTGTGTTCCTTATTTGTTTTTTGAGAATTATTTCTTTCACATTCCATTTTAGAATTTGAACTTAATGCATTTGAAAAGAATGCCGGTGGTGCTGTCGAATACACAATAATATGACTTTGTGATTTATACAAATTATAAATAATTTAAAAATGCAAAGTATTAAGATTTTAGTTTGTCAATATCAATATTTTACGTTCGACTAAACACTCTTTTCAACTACAGTGAATTTGAATATCCATTTTAAAGTATAAAATAGGTAAAGAAAGAGAAAGATGAAACTGAAGAGAGAGAGAACATAAAATAAAGTGATGGAAAGAATAGAAAAATATCAGTGCAATTCTAGGGGAAAATTGTAGGGAAAAATACTCATTCAAGTAGGTGTTAATCAGATTTAGAACTTTTTCTATACAATATTAATTTCGTTTTGCATCAACCAAAATTGAGCAACACAATTTTAGATAGATTTTCCTTTCTTGCTTGTATTCACTCCTACCCCTAAAATTCATATCCACCCATTCTAGTGCAGAGGTTCCACCTGTTTCTATGGCCTAATTAAGAAGAAATTTGCAACCCACGTTTAACACCGGAAGTGGCTCCAATTAAGCAAGCACCCAATTGCATTTGTTGGGATAGTATATGATACATTTTAATAATAATGGATATACCGTTTCAATCATCATGGATAGGAATAATATATATCCAACTGTTTCAAATAAATATTATGTGTCAAAAACAAATAAATAAAATACTCATAACATATGATATACATAAACCAACATACAAAGTCATATCTATTAATTCAAAGACCACATATGTAAATGAATATCCAAAATCAAAAACAAAAAAAATGTTGCTGACCGACATGGTGCCAAGAGTGAGCCCATTTTGACCTCAGAAGCAGATCAAAACCCATAAATAGATACGTCCTTGTCCTTTGGTGGCTCCATATTAATGAAACCCATGGGGTACCCATGACCTACACCTCCAACCATATTCTTTTCAAAGCTACCCCATAAAGGACCATTTCCATGCTTGTTTTCAGATTCAACCCGTTCTTTCTACAACATTCTCTACCCTCTTTCAAACCCTGTGGTCCTAATTACAATACCGAAAAACCAAAAACAAGCATGGAAATGGAAAAGAAAAAAAAAATACAATATAATTTGGTCACATAGAAAAAGAAAGGCCGCATATATAACCTACACAAAGTAACATTAAATCTTGGTTTATGAGGATTGAGCAAGTTTCTCCTCCAAAGATTGTTTCTTTCTGCATGCCATAGTAGCTCTAGCCGTTGATATCCAAATATTCAATCTTCTTGCATGGTTGGTATGCAAGAACTTGATCAAGATTAAACCTGTGTTTAGACTTTAGAGCCACAAAGCTTACCTAGAAAGGTGATAATTGTGAACAGTGAAGGAGGAAGCAAATGGTTTGACTTAATAGAGAGAACGGTATGATGAAATTGATTGTTTGAAGTTGAATAAAGATAGATACACATAAGGATGTTAATAGTGGCGAAATTGGTGGCTTGGGAATTTTGTATAATCAGTTGTGAAGTGGGTTTGGCCCAGAGGGTACTAGTCTCTTCTCTACACCATACCTTGGATCAATTTTACTCTCATGGGAGGGTGGAATTTCTTTGCTTAATCTTTGATGGGATTTTTGAAGTTCAGTGCACAAGGAAGGCGGCTTTCTCTTGGTGAAAGAATCACAAAAATGATGGTGGTGGTTATGGTTATGGTTGTGTGTGTTACCTGAGGAAGTTGAAGATGGAACTCTACAATTTGCTGAAGAGAAGAAAAAGAGAAAGAGGAGCAGGAGGATCACAACCTTGATACATGTGGTTGAAGACAAAAAGTTCTTGATCATTTCTGAAACAGAGAAAAACAGGGGAGCGAGAAGAGAAAAAAGTGATGCTTGAGCAGTTAGAAAAATGATGGAAAATGAGAGTATTAATGCAAAGCAAGAGACACATGAAGGTGGATATGTAATGACCGAGAAAACGGAGGGGGCCTCACTCAATTAATTTTGGTCTTAGTATTTTGTCACCAATCACATCTCATTTCTCAATCTCATCAAGGGAGTCGTGAAGTTTTTATGTGTAGGAGTTGGGATGAGGCTTGTGTGGATGAATAGACGCTGGTTACATTAACTAGGAATGGATTTCAAAGATTTTTGGCTTCCCAGGTTAGCCAAACAGAAGAAAGTTGGCAGAATCAGAGAAATAGTTATTTTGGGTTTGATGCTTTTAATGACTTTTTCTTGTTATGTATGGTTGGTTTTGTTTGACTAGTTGGTAATCATGATGTAAGCCTAAAATAATTTCTTACCATAAATTCAGGTTTTTATATTTGCTAATAAAGAAAAAAGATGAAACTGTTTCTACTTATGCACACACTATTATCAAATGTTATGTTATTACTAGATACAATACATACAAAAAATAATATTGGGTATTATAGACTATGCTACAAATTCATACAAATAAACAATCTGCACATTTTTGTGAAAATTTAAAAGAAAATAAAGGTTGTATTGTATTTTGACATGTTGTGTTGATGCTTTAAGTAGGATGCTGTAGGTGACATGCAGATTAAAAATGTGTCATGAGGAAGATAGAATGAACCTCCCTAGGAAATTGTTTGACAATCAATGAGAAGAGTTTAGATAATACGCTATGCTTTTCTTAAGACAATAATGGTTTGAAGTCTTACTGTGTTTGGATACACATAAAAATCTGTGACCATGAATATTATATAAATATTATAATCATCCATATGTGAATAAATGCACTTAATGCACATTAAACTAGCTGTGGTTTATCTATAGTTTGGGTGAAATTATAACTTGTAAGTCATAAATGGAGCAAATTGTAGAGCCCCCAAACAGTGGGAGTGAGTGAAATTGGCTCCAAATTGCAAGTGTTTTTTTGGAGGCATGCACATAGCATAAATCCCTTTTTTGTCATCTAGTCCATTGTGTGAGTATGACATGAAAAGTAACCGTGAAAATGTGCAATATATGAATATAATGGCTTGTATATCTTGTAACACAGCTTAGGATATATACAGAGAAAACCAAATAAGTCAAGAATTAAAGACAAAGGAAATGTTTGTAAATTACATGCACTCTTGTTCTTTTAATATGATCGTATAAAAAGCCTTTTTGTTATTGGCATGGTTGACCAGGATACTACTGGTTGCCATAAAGGAGAAGCTTATGCTTTATACATTGGAAGCCATTATGGTCTGGTTCATGATACGCTGCAAATTTTGCCATCTGAGAAGTTGTTAATGGTAATGGAGATGATGTGGACTACACACACACATACGATAATTCTTCACAATCCACTCCCAAATCAACTTTTTAATGTGATGATTGATTTCTTAAGCATCATTTTCTTCTAATTTGGAATATTAGGTAGAATTATTATTTTCTTTTATTAGATTTCGTAGTTGTTACGTACGAATTTATAAAATATCTATTTTTTTATGTTATTAATTATTTTGTATTCTGTTTTATTAATAATATTAAATAATTTTTATTTATATTAGGTATATACTTAACAAAAATATAAAAAACTATTTAAAGAAAGAAATATTAAATTATTTATTTAGTATTTAAAATTTTACTTGAATTATTCAATTAATAAAACATAAATATTTAAAAACATTTTTAAAAGTTAGAACACAGTATATTAATAAATATATAGACAAATGAATGAAAAAAATAATAAAAAGGAATAAATCTAAAGAATTTTAATAATATATGTAGATATATAGATTCCACTTGATTTAATATAAGGTGTGAAACATTTGTTTAGATGAGGATAAATAAGATGAAAAGAAATAAAAGAATTACTTGTTATAATAAATTTTTAAAAAATCAATTTTTTTACTATAATAGTTTTAATAAAAATAATTTTTAATTTTTAATATTTTTATATTATAAAAAATATTATTTAATGTAAAACATTTTAAAAAAACCTTCTATCTCCCTCTCCCGTGACTTTTTCGTGGCAAGAAACAGCTAGATTTTTTGTGGTTTTACAATCGAAACTGGAGAGAAATATTTTCTCTATTAAATTACTATTTCAATTTTCTTTTCTTAGTAAATTATTGTATTCAAATAAATATATATTTACTTCTTTATATTAATTTACTAACACAATTTTTTTTATCTAATTTAAATCAGATCTGACCTGAGTCATGCATGTGAATATAGTAGATGAGTCTGTTATTAAAATTTTTTGTATTTACAAAATTTTAAATTAGAGATTTTACTTAAACGATACTAAGCCGCTTAATATTTACGCTAATTTTTATTAGTAACATGAAACTTTTTAATTTTATAACTTTTTTTAAATTTAATTTTTTTTTAATTATGAGTTATATTATTATTTTTTAATACAGACTTATACTTCAAAATTTTTACATCTATCTTAAGTTTTGCGTTTCTTTTTATGGTCTATTCTTCTACTCTCTGTTTTCCTGATATTATCACAAGCCTAAATTTTTGTAAGCTCTTTTACTTTTCATCTGGCATGACTTAAAAAAATGACAATTTTCTAGGTTTAAAAAAGCTTTATCAATTTTAAAGTCATGAGACTTTTCTTACTCGTTAATTTGCTCTTAACATACTAATACAAGACTTTTATTATCTAATAATGTAAAGATATTTATACAGTAAAATGATTAAAAATAATACAATTATGACTTTTAATGTGATAATTTTATAATTGAACAACAGCATAATTTTTTTAAACTATTTATTTCAATTAAGTTTATTCAATTTATTATTATTATAATATTAGAAAATGAGTAATGATTTTTTTAGTTAGTGTTGGTGGACAATTTGCCATTGAATGGAATTGGATAGCTATATGACATCACAGTCCAGTTAAGAACTGCAATTTTTCCTAACATATTGTTTTAGAACATTTTGGTAATAATTCACCCAAACTTGTTCTAAACACCTTACTATTTTGCTGCCGACCTGAAGAGTTGTTGCTAAAAATAAATAAATAAATAAGTTTCCAAGCATTTGTGAAATGCTTTCAGAAACACAGTGATGTAGAAAAATAAAAAACAAATAATGAATGACAATCAATAAGTGAAACCCCCATAACAAGGGATAAAGAAAAAAATTGAATAAATTCAATTGAACAACAGTTTGAGGCTATCATGCGTCACTTCCCTACTAATTTGCGTGCACGTTGGTTGGCACCTTTAACTCGAGAATTCAGCTCATCCACATCGTCACTCAGATTATCAAGAGCTTTATTTTGCCTGCAATTATCAAAGTATGTGCCACATTAGTGCATCAAATACAAATACTGTTTTCACATAACACAACTATGGACATGCATCATTCATAACTTCCATTTCTTTCATGACAATGACTCTGCTTCAGCTTTCATAATATTTTCTTCACTCAATCAACAAAGCAATGAACACTGTAACACAAAATTTTATTATTATTATAACTAAAGTATAACAAAGGCTTTACCTGTCAAGCTCAGTTCCCATACCAATTGCCATACCCTTTAAATCACCCAAGATGTCACTCAGATCTGAGAGTGCATCATCTTGTTTGGCTTTCTCAACCTGTGTTGGCAACATCATCAGAAAATCCAATGAAAATGTTTCTTTACAAACCGATACTCTTTGTCGACATAACAAGGTGAGTTTGTTTCAAAGTGAGTAATTATATTCTTATCTATAACATTAAAAATACTGTTATTAGAAATGTTATTCTTCAATAATTTTTAACTCAAATATATGATAATTTCTAACGTTTTCATATGGATGTAATATTTTCGCCTCTTATAAAAAAATAAATTAAAACTTACAACAAACATGATAAAAGCTACGTTCTTACATCAACTTTCTGATAGGCATTGGCTGGTTCATTAGGAGGTGTGGTAGGAGCAGAGCGTCCCTTGGGCATAGGAGATAAGCCCAATTTCTCCCTGTCTTCCTTATTAGCTATATTCTTTTTGGATGGATTATCTGTTAAAACATAAAATTCCATTATAATCTTGTTTATTAAGGAAAGTAATCAAGATTGAAGGGTTAGAACAAAACCTGGTGTAATTACAGGGCCTTGGATTTCCCTGGTCTTCTTTGGCTTCCAGGGTTTAGAGAACATGCCCCCAAGATTGTTTAGGAGTTTTTCACCCTACGATCAGAATGTAAATTATTCGAGTTATAAATACTGTTGACATCTTCACTACAGAAAATCTTGTTAGTTAAAATTTTATAAATTACATAGTTTAATATATTTGAATAGTTAGATTGAAAATTGCACTCTTCTGCTGAGAAGTCAAACTTGAGAAGATCAGAATCTGGAGAACACAAATAAAATCTTATCATTTATTTGTATTTGCATTTATACTTTTCTTTTCTTTTTCTCCCTTTTCCCCTTCTTGAAATCTATCGCATAAATAATTTCTCATGCCCAGTATGGCATGTAATCACAAGCACCACAGTACAACATCATTAGCCCTCACATAATGCAAGAACCGCATCAATAATTTTGCCTTGCTGTTGCGACTCATTATGAATCGTTAATCTCAATTTTAAGGTTAATATTAAAAATATCACATCAGAAAAATGTTATCAAAAAATAAATATTTATTATATTAATGTTGCCAAAAAAAATGTTGCTTACCACGTCAAAAACCTTTTCCTAGATGAAATTGAAGATGAAAATGAAATGAGAGATGGACATACCCGACTCAAATCCTTCTCAGTTTCAACAACCATATTGTGAGTCCTAGTAATCTGTTCACCCTGCTGGTGCAACATGTCAAGGGTCCTTGTGGCATCCTCTCTAATATCCTCAGCAATCCTTAAGCAATTGTTAACACTCTTTGTTGTGTCTTCAGCTTTGGACACTGCATAGTCTTCCAGCTCCTGAACACTCTTGCTCTCAAGGCTGTTCTTGTCTTTTGCTGTGGATGAAGGCTTTCTCCCCCAGTCATCATCCTCATCATCAAAATAGTTCCCTTCAGATTTTGCTGCTGCAGGGATGGGTTCTGAAGAAGCCCTTGCTGGTGGCGCTTTTCTAAACCCAAACATTTTCACGTTCAACACAACCAACTGTTTTCAAATTATACGAGAACCTGGTCGAAATCTATAACATTTTTGTTAGTGTTAAGATATAAAGTCTTACGAAAATGGATAAGGAACAAATTAAAAATTATATAAGCAGTGTCTTATTTTAAAATATTTAAACTTAAATCTAATCTCTCTCTTTTTCTTTGATTGGCCACGTTCAAAATCATATTATTAACACTTTATTCTAAAAATTTTAATTTTTTAAACAATGTCTTAATACTTGTTAGTATTCTCAATGATTTTAGTTTAGTACTACAATAAAATGAAATTAAGTAATTAACATATGACATGACACCGTTACACTACGTGCACTTACCCAACCATAAAGATTGGTATACTAAATCAGAAGGAATTTAGGAAATCTTAACCTCAAAATAACACTTACTAAAGATAAAATTAAATAAAACTAATCTTAATCTGATTGCGTGAGGAAATTTTGTCAAAAAGCTTAAATGAAATTGCAGAACATATTATAAAATTCAATCACATAAGCAAAGTGGAATTTAGAGCGTGAAACCAATCTTGGTCTAAATACACGAGGTTATTTTCTCAATAATGCTTGCATCGAAGGACAAAACTAGAGCCAGAAATGGAAGTTATATCGCCGAAGAAAACTAGAATATAATGGGTAAGAAACGACAACATTCAAATTCAGAAACATGAACCAAGTTAGCTTTTTGGCGTATATCCAGATCACTCACGATAACATTCATCAGATAATAAAATTTACTAACAAAACGAAAAATTGGAACCCCAAAATTGGGAAACTTTCAAGTTTCAACAATGAATTTCTGCATGTAAATGTTTTCTAAATCAATCACACAACATTATGATAAAGTTTGTGCTTTCATGAGTCAAAATGCTCACTTTTTAAATGGTTAGACAAAGTAACACAAATGAATGCAATCAAAGGAACCCATGATCGAAAATCATATAAAAACAACAACATCAAAACCATGAAGCAGAATACAACCAACCTTTTTAAAAATTTCCGAAGTTATGTGTGAAATAACTAAACTAAGAGAATGCATAAATAAGTGTGAAATGGGTACCTGAAATGTGAGAACAAGAAGGTTATGGTATGTGGTACACAAACCAAAACTAAAGATGGGTTGCGTACGATAGAGGGAACAAGCAGCAAAAATGGAACAAGGGATGGTTGAAAGAGAATGCAAGATACTTAGAATTGTGTCTCTTTCGTTGAAAAATAAGAAATAGATGAAAGGCACCGCGGAAAAACAGAGACCTATGATCTCTTTCAAACGTAAACACCCTTTGACAATTTTTGACCGTTGGCTGGGGAAACTAACTTAACTACCTAGTTTCATTTTTTTTTTTTTCGTATTAAGAAAAAAACAATTTGATTTGCGGTTGCATGTTTTTTTCGGAATAGTTCCATTGGTGTAAAAGTCCTCCAATGAGTGACTTCAAAGATATTGATTAAAATAAGATTTTTTTAAAATTTATTTATTTTTTAAAAGATCATATATATTTTTATTCATTATATATTTAAAATTTATGATAATGAGTTAATTTTATTCATGTCACTATTTAATTTTTTACTATTTTATACATTTATCACAAATGAGAAAAGAAAATTAGTGGAAGTCATATTAACTGTATATTCAGAATCATTTGTAGACTTAGAGATGGACTCATCTCACAGTAGTTAAATTGATGGTTAGAACAATTTTTCTCTTTTATATATATATATATATATAACATCGTTATTTATATTTATAATAAACTTTTCTCCATTAAGTATTTAACATGATTCTCAGCTCTCCCACTGTTGGTTTGTCTTTCATTCAAGTTCTGATTCTTTTTGTTTCTGAATCTGGCTTCATACGTAGTGATCTGCATTATTTATGTTTGAGGAGGTTTCAAGAATTGTAGTATCGTGCATGTTTCTGATATGGATCCGATAATTCTGGGGGCTTGGCACAAGATTAACCGGTCAGCAAGAGGGTTTGAAAAGTAGTCTCAAGCATTGGACATGCAAAGAATAATTTGAGACCAGCAATAGTTATTCAAACAAAGCATGTTTATAATCACTTATGTTTGAAAATATAATAATATAAAAATTACTAACACGTTTGCATCGTCATCTCTTGCTCACAATGCCTACAACTTATATTTGATACCTGTATGCTTATTCATAATCTTAATTATCGAAATGTTTTTTCACAATTTGCATAATTAACAATAAAACTTTTCAAGAGAGGCCCCAATTTCAAGCTTAGGGTTATAAGGTGTTTACTTCCATCTATTTTCTCAAGAATGAACTCCTCCATAGCCATCTTAGCCACCTCTATTGGATCAAAAAAACTTTGCACTTTTGAAAATATCATCACCTTTTCCCTCTATGATGATGCTTTTGGTATATTTCCATTTGATAACTTTCGATCAAGATGCTTCCATCCTCCTCACGTTTATCATCTAAGCTAAAATGGTTATGGACCAAATCTCAACGACCCAGGCCCAGATGGGATAACAACATTTTCCCATTAGATGAGCCCTTTAAGCAGGAATTTCTCAAAGTAGGAATGAAGAACAATAGCAAACGATTAACCATTGGTCTCAAATCCTATAATAGCGTGTGAGATAGGTATGGAGAAGAAAGGCAAAAAAAATTATGATGAATGATGTCATATAAAAAGATAAAAAATAAATATAAAAAGTATAATTTAAAAGATTCAAAGAAATAATTAAATAACTTATTATTAAATGTAAATAACATATTCAAATCTTGCTGCATCTCTTTACTAATGTCTTCATGCTTTTAACATATGAATTTTTTTTTAACCTATGCAACAAATGCATAGGTTAAGGAGGATTGGATATGCTCTCTTACAAAATTTTAACTTCAAATTGAAGTATTACATAAATTTTGTATTGATTCTAATATAATAAATATTTTTTTAGTTGCCACTTTTATTTTTCTTAATTTATACAACTAGTTATAGAATAAAAATTTGATAAAATATTAAAAGAATTAATTTAGGAGTATATTGTCAAAGAACAAATGTCTTAAGAACATAAATGATCAATAATTGAAGTAACTATTTTTTATTATATTTTAATTATAAATGATCAATAAAAATGAATGAATGACATATATAATATTTAAACATAAATAAATATGGATATAAATTAAAAGAATAAAAAAATAATTTGTAAATTAAAATAAACTTTAACTTAAAAAGTCATTTTAAAATTGAGGAAAGAAATTATTTATCTTGGAAACGATGTTGTCAATTAAATGATAAAGCTATCATTTTCTGATGACTACTAACTAGAATCTTTGAATTTATGCTTAAAGATTTAAGATCAACAACTTTTACAGCTGGCAATAACAATTTGTAATCATTTTACATATGATTTCTCCCTCCCCTTATCTGTTCGACTTGATAATGGAGGAATATTGACGGGTTAAAAAATGAAAATTATGACAGGATCACCCAGACATTGAATAAGCAAAATCAACAAGAAATGTATCTTTAATCAGATTGGAGGCATAATTTTTATTTTTTTTTAAAAAGTATTAATTTTTTTTAATTTTATTTTTTGAATGGGAAAATTATTTCAACTTATCATATAATATTGAATTTAAGTTCTATTAAATGCAATTATATTAAATACTTAATTTGAAAAAAAAATTACAATAAAAGACATCTGTAATTTAAAAAAGAAAATGTGGAAGGAAAAGTCAACAAAATGTATGCTTTACACATGGAGGAGAAGATATGTTGTCTCTAGGAAGATGACAGTCTCAAGCTGGGTTCATAGGCATAGATCACTTCATCGACAGATTCTCCCCGCAAGATCTTTTATATATTTCCTTGCTGTATTTCACCATGGCATCTAACCATAAAAGTAAAAACTTGAAAAATATATGTATTAATTTTTAATAAATGTACAGTCGTATAAATTATATATACACGCAAGTTTGACCAGAATTGGATTAGATTAGTTTTTAAATTGAGTTTTGAAATATGATCGAATCTTCTTCTTCTTCTTTTTTTTATAGGTTGCATTAAATTGAATCGGATTATAAATACCATCTTCACTTTATTTGTGTTAGAAAATTAATATAAGTCTAGCTTTGGATTTTTATATTTTTATTATTTATTTAATTTATATTTTGGTCTATTTCAAAATTTTAAGTTTTATTTATTATTATTTTATAAATTTGAGTTTTGATCTCCATAATTTTCATTCAAGTTAGATTTATTTTTATTAAGATTATAGTCGTTATTATATATACATGACAGTATATAGTCTAGATAATTTGTTTTTCAAACAAAAGTGTTTGGACACATTGTTACTAAGGATTAAAAGTAAAACTTTCAAAATTAGTAGAGTTAAAAAAAAAGATTTTAAAATATAGAAACTAAAATCAAAATTTAAGATGAATTATGAAATTAAATATGTATTTAAAATTATAAAAGCATTCATGTACCTCTTATCGAATAACACACAACTTCCTAAGAATAAATAACTCTTGGCATGATATTAGAATATTTACTACCAAAGGGGACATTGGAAATATATAATATAAACAAACTTAAATATTTTCTAATATCTTTTGGAATGGTTCATGAGAACTAAATCTCTTGGTATTTGTTTTAACTTTACATAATATTTTAACTTTACCTAGTTAGCGAGGGTTTGAGCTAGAATTTGCATGATTGATAGGTGTCTCCTTGCTCGGATCATATTTGACTAATGATAGTGTCCTCAATGTGATTAATTGAGTAGAACTTTCTTCCAAGTACATCACATCCATGGTTGGCATATTGCTATTAGATTCTTCCAATACAGATCTATGATGAACACATTCACGTTGACCTCCTTTGTAATATTGCTCATTTCTTGTCATACAATGATGAAAGCTGTATAGCGCAATTCATTAATGTGTGGGGTGGAGACTCGACTATATGTGCCATTATGATCAGTAA